TAATTCTCATCCTAAAATTCCAAAACCTAAGTGGTAAAAGTGCTATACCAGGTCACCAAAAAAAAAAAAAAAAGCCCTGGTCACACACACACATAAAGTGCTATACCATTTTAGAGAAATGGAGGCATAGAAGTCTAATAAATATTCCACAGAAATTCCAGCAGTAGATATTCCTAAATAACACTAGAGCAAAAATAGAAATAAAATTCAAAATTCTTGGGCCTGGCCATTACATTATGCTGTTCCTTCTTAAAATGATTATTTAAAAAAAAATACCCAGTGTAAAGAAAGAACAGAATTTGTTGGGCACTTGTATTACTCACATTTTAAAAAGAAGGCCATGGGAGGGAGGTTTAAAAGGGAGGGGATATATGTATACCTATGGCTGATTCATGTTGAGGTTTGACAGAAAACAACAAAATTCTGTAAAGCATTTATCCTTCAATAAAAAAAAAAAAATTAAAAAAAAAGAGAAGGCCATTAAAAAGAAGATATACTTTAACCCTTATTTTTATATAGTAGTAATAGTAGTAGTGTTAGTCTCTTAGTCGTGTCCGACTCTTTGCGATCCCTTGGACTGTAGCCTGACAGACTCCTCTGTCCAGGGGATTCTCCAGGTAAGAATACTGGAGCAGATTGCCCTTCCCTTCTCCAGAGGATCTTCCCGACCCAAGGATCAAACCCTGAATCTTTACTGTTTGAGTTACAGGGAAGACTTCCATTTTTGTATAGGCATAGTTATTTAAGACCATCTAGAAAGGGCTTTATGTTTGTGGACATCAATTTTTAAAATATTTATTACATTCTTAGTTGTATATTTTTTTCCATGAAAAACATGGTTTTTTTATTACAATATACACTCCTCTATGAGACATAAGCCATGTGTGTGCATGCGTGCTAAGTCACTTCAGTCGTATCTGACTCGGCGACCCTATGGACTGTAGCCCACCAGGCTCCTCTGTCCATGGTATTCCCCAGGCAAGAATACTATTGTTCAGTTGCTCAGGCATGTCCAACTCTTTGTGACCCCATGGACTGCCTGTCCTTCCCTGTCTTTTACAAACTCTTGGAGTTTGCTCAAACTCATGTCCATTGGGTCGATGATGCCATCCAACGATCTTGTCCTCTGTCGGCTCCTTCTCCTCCTGCCTTCAATCTTTCCCAGCATCAGGATCTTTTCTAGTGAGTCAGCTCTTCACATCAGGTAGCCAAGGAATAGTGGAGTGGGTTGCCATGCCCTCCCTCCAGGGGATCTTCCCGACCCAGGGAATTTGTCAGGTGAGTTCTTTACCACTAGCCCACCTGGGAAGCCCAATATAAGCCACAGTTAGTAAACTTCTATTTAATATCCCACTTAAAGGTCTACGAAGTCAAAGGCCTTGGGACCCACTCCAGGCACTGAAATAAAACAGTCTAGAGAACAACTTCCCTGGTGCTCCAGTGATTGAGACTCCAAGGTTCCAAGGCAGGGAGCATAGGTTCGATCCCTGGTTGGGGAACTAAAATTCTGCATGCTCTGTGGCACAACCTTAAAAAAAAAAATCCAGTGAATGTATATGTGTGTTCAGTTGCTCAGTCCTGTCCAACGCTTTGGACCCCCCTGGACTATAACCCACCAGGCTCTTCTGTCCTCTGAAATTTTCCAGGCAAGAATACTGGAGTGGGTTGCCATTTCCTACTCCAGCGGATCTTTACAATGCAGGGATTGAACCCTTGCCTCTTGCATCTCGTGCACTGGCAGGCAAATTCTTTACCACTGAGCCACCTGGGAAACCCAACCTAGTGAACAGACTTAGTCAAAGTAGTTAAATTTGCAACCACTTATCTTCTGGAGAAAAGAGTATTAGTTCAATCCAATGACACATTTCTGTGGCGTTCTGGATAACTAATAATTGATCACTACTGTAGATACAAACTGTTGTTGGGTACACAGACTGTGGGAAGGGCCTGGTATACACTATCCATCATATGAAGGAGAGAGTAGTTTTGGTGGGTGGGAATTTCAGTTTTGTGGACCAGTAATTTAGTAAACTTCAGGACAAAATGATTAGATGACAAAAAACCCACCCCTCCCCCCCCAAATTGCTAGTTTATTTATTTAGTATTTTGGTCAGGCCACACAGCTTGTGGGATATTAGATCTCTGGTCAGGGACTGAATCCAGGCCCCACCAGTGAAAGCATTAAGTCCTAACCACTGGACCACCAGGGACGTCTCAAAAGACTGCCGATTTAAAGCTGCCAGCTCTAAGGACTTCCCTGGCAGTCCAGTAGTTAAGACTCTGCTGTTCCACAGTAGAGGGCACAGGTTCAGTCCCTGTAGGGGGCAATAAGATCCTGCATGCTGTGTGGCTCAGACAAAAAATAACTACATAAATGGTAAAACTACCAGCTTTAAAAGTATTTCAGCAAATGGAAAGCAGCTATCAGCTATCATATTTGTGTACTCCCTGTTGAGCCTAACAGGCTGTGCTGCATCCAGGACATAAAATATTCATAAATATTTTCTGATAACTGAGGGAAACTTCCTTCTCCAAGACTGGAGAGAGAGGCTAAAATGAACGTGATCACGCCTCCTACCCAGGAGTTTGCAGCTGCTGTTCTTATACTATTTGGTGAGGAAGAACTGTGAACGTGTAGGAAGAAACAAGAGGGACTGGAGAACTAGGTGAACCCTTCCCCAGTTAACCAGCTTTCCCTTGGCTTAGTCACCCTGCCCCCACTCCCGGTGTATAATTGACTTGCTCTTCCCCTCCAAGCCTTCCTAAAAATAACTTCTTGACCTCTCTTTCCTGTCACCACTATTCACTCCCAATCTCACACCTTCCCTTACCTTCTTGAAAATATAGTTAACTTCAAAAAAAAAAAAGAAAAAGAAAAATGATAAAGAAAACCCCAGCAAAATCTGTTTATGTTAGTATCATTTTGTTAGTGATGTTCCCTCTTGGCGTTGCAGTGGCAGTTCTAGGGCAGTTACTAGGTAATGTGGAACTTTATCAAGGAGTTAGCTTCCAATGCATGGGAGTGTGTAGTCCCAACTGCTTGCTACTCACAGGCATTTTATTACGTGTAAACAACCATAATCATAGGCCAGGCCTAAAAAGTCAAGATGAGGCACAGAGTTGAGTCATTTTCTGCTCAGTTCTAAAGATGCAAACAGTACTGGAATTATCTATAATACAAAATGATAGCACAAATTTACTTTTCAGTATCTGAAACTTAAAAATCCATATGTCTCTCAAAGACAAATACCAGGACTTCCCTGGTGGTGCAGTATAAGAGTCTGCCTGCCAATGCAGGGGACATGGGTTCGACCCCTGGTTTGGGAAGATCCCACAAGCTGAGGAGCAGCTAGGCCAGTGGACCACAACTACTGAAGTACGTGGTTTGCCTAAAGCCTGTGCCTTGCAGCAGGAGAAGCCCATGCACTGCGACTGGAGAGTAGCCCCCACTCTCCACAGCTAGAGAAAGCTCGAGTGCAGCCGCAAAGACCCAGAGCAACCAAACGGGAAAAAAAGAGACAAATATCATATGATATTCATATGTGGAATCTATTTTTTTAAAAATGGTTCAAACTTATTTATAAAATAGAAACAGACTTATAGAAAACAAACTTATGGTTACAAAGGGGAAATATGGTGGGGAGGGATAAATCAGGAGCTTGGGATTAATATACACACAGTACTACATATAAGAGAGATAATCAGAAAAAAAAAAGGTAACAAGGACCTACTGTATAGCACAGGGAACACTAATCAATATTCTGTGATTATCTACAAGAGAAAAGAATCTGAAAAAAGAATGAATATATGTACATGTATAACTGAACCACCTTGCTATATTACCCCAAACGAACACAGCATTGTAAATCAACTATAATCCAATAATAAAAAAAAAAATCCTGTGTCGATATAAAACTATCACCTAGAGTTTTAAAATTTTACTTATTTATGTCCTTTAAGAGCTACATGGACTATCATTAATCTGTATAAGCTCTAGGAAGGAAAATTAACTACAGTAGTGGCAGTAAGGGAATGGGACACGTTCTAATCATTTCAGAGAGCATCAAGAGCTTTATGAATCAGGAACCAGGTCTGCAAAATTTTTCTAAGTTTCCAGGACATTGATAACATCCCCATTTGCCAACTTCATTATCCTATCTCTTTCTCCATATGTCAGTAGTGAAACTCTTAGCCTGCATGTTCGTATCCAGGGTGGCAGGGAAGGTGGAGATCGGGATGCGCCAGCCCCCTTCACAATCTCTTCACTGCGTTGGCTGGACAGGAGAGCAGTCATGTCCGAGGGGACTGATACAGGTAGGAAATGGAAAATTCAGAATAAGATTCTGAGGGAGCATCTCAGGAAAGGCTTTGGGGCTCAGCAGCAGAAAAGCCACTTTTCCTCTCAGAGAAGCAATTTTGGGATCTTAACTCTGTTTTTTTTTTTTTTTTTCTTTTCTATCTTTAAAAGGGAACTATATCAGTATCCTTCTTATAGAGTTACTGTGATAGTGTAAAATATTGGGCATAGTTCCTAAAACATAGGAAGTGCTCCAAATACTACCACTATTGGCCCTAGTTTCAGAAGAGATATGCATGGCCATAGTCTAAAGAAATTAAATCAGGCCAGAAGTCAAGGGAGAAGCAGAGGTGGCCTCCATGTCCCAATTGGTCAATCATCTCCTTAGCTCCATGAATTGTGGTGCCGAAGAAGACTCTTGAGAGTCCCTTGGAAAGCAAGGAGATCAAACCAGTTAATCCTAAAGGAAATCAACTCTGAATGAATATTCATTGGAAGGACTGATGCTGAAGTTGAAGCTCCAATATTTTGGCCATCTGGTTCGAAGAGCTGACTCATTGGAAAAAGACCCTAATACTGGGAAAGATTGAAGGCAGGAGGAGAAGGGGATGACAGAGGATGAGATGGTTGGATGGCATCATCAACTCAATGAACATGAGTTTGAGCAAACTCCGGGAGATGGTGAAGGACAGGGAGGCCCGGCGGGCTACAGTCCATGGGGTCGCAAAGAACTGGACACAACTTAGTGACTGAACAACAACAAAGACCTGAGATGTGGAAACCAAGGTTACAGAGGAGAAATAATGTCTAAACTCATATAGCTAATGAGCAGTGGACTGAGGTTCAATCCTGGGTCCATTTACCTCCTAAGGCTTAACTCTTCCATACAGTTCTGTCTCCTAAACTAAACACGATTAAAAATGAAAGTTTAAATTCAAAGATCTATTTTTGAAGCTGGAACTAAAAACCATTATTCCAAAGTTAATCACCTATATAATTCTACACTTTCCCTCTATTTTCACAGTTAAGAGGAAAGAGGTTATATCAAAGATCATGAACATTTTTTGAGTCTCTGGGTCAGTTACCACCCGGCCCCTTTCAGGTCTGATTTTCAGTGAATAAAGAACCAGAGACTCACCAAAAGTTGCTTAGCAATGAGTGTCCCTGAAAAGTGCTTAGAACAGGAAATGCTTAAGCAATGAATTAAACAGTAACTTGTTGTGTCAATGTGCGTTCTTAAGGAAAACAGAAAGAACCATGTACTTTTGAGAGAAGCAACGCCAGGAACCGTTATTTTTCCAAACGCTTTAAGAGTTGTGGTTTCATGTAAGATTTACTTTCAAGTTGCCCACAAGTCCTGCAGTTCCAGCTTCCTGCCCTGGGTCTCCTTGAAAAGCCTGAAGGAACTCTGGCACTGAAAATGCTCTTGTCCAGAGCCAAGGATTTAACACAATTCTCCCTCATTACCAAGAGGCCTGAAACCTCAATCTGCCGGAAGATGGGAAGGAAAGAAAAGGTGAGCAGACCACTGGGGCGTGGTAGAACAGTGGGTTTCACCTCCTCTCCTGCCACCCAAAAGCTAGGCCTTAAGTTTAATTTTTTGTCCAGACAAGGACACCATGCATGCCATTATCTGGTTCCTTTCAAGTCCCCAAGGGTCTCTGCCAGTTGCTTTGGTTGATGTTTTGAAGCAGTTAAAAAAAAAAAAAGGGTGAGGAAAGTGACTAATTCTGTCTAGAATTTTTGCCCTTAACATTCTTCTCTAAATATTCAGGTTACTAAATAGAATATAACAATGGTATCTTACATTTATAGAGAAGTACAGTGGCTCTGGAATCAGAACTAGACTCCTTGCCAGCTCTCTCACCAACTAGCTGTGAGACCTTATACAGGCCATTAATGTGAACACGTAGTTCTTTCATCTGTGAAACGGAGATACTGTCAGCCTCAGAAGGATTAAGAGAGACAATATATACAAAGTATTTAGAGTTGTTTTTATTATTTTAACTGTAAGAAAACTGTACCCTTATTCTATCGTATTCTGATGTTTCCTTTTGAGATCACAGAGGGGTAGGTTAGGAGCAGTGTCTTTCTCGAAGGGCTAGACATTCTTGATGCTAATCATCCAGAGAAGGATGAAAGACATATCTTCCATTAGAAAACCGGAATTAGATCTGAGAAGTAATAACCTCCCTCTCATTGTCCTGGGCCTATAGCCCAAAGAATCTAGATATCCTTAAAGCCACTCATGCTTGATAAGAATTAAAAATCCAAGGTGGGAAATGAGGAAGGGGCCACAAACTTAACATGAAACTCTGTCATCTGTGTAAGACGTGGAGTCAGCCTCCTGTTGAAGACCTGGAAAAGCAAACTCTCCAAGTGGAAGCTGAATCTTGGGAGAGAAGTACTTGGGGTTTGATCCCCTAAGTACTTCTTCCTTTATGAAAGCGGGGATTCTTTACAAGTTCTCTAAAATATTCAAAGCTTTCAGTTACATCTATTTGAGTCTCATGAAAACTCTAAGACGAGGAGCTTGGATGTTGCTATCTCCATTTTTCTAAGTTAACTAGGTTTTAAAGAGATTACATGCCTTGCCTAGAATCATTTCAGTACAGGGCAATGGCTAAGGAAAATTTGGTTTAAAAAAAATTATTCCTAGTCCAGGGGGATGTCAATGATCCCCATCCTAGGAGAGTAACAGTGCTGTAAAGATTTTTTTACTATCATTTTGCATTATTCATACCACTAACCTTTCACTTTAACCACATCTTAGGTAACTGAATCAATTGTATTCAGAAGAAACATTTTCCAAGTCCCTCATAGGCACAGAACTCATGCCTGTGAACAAATTTGTCACACTATAAATTCAGTCACACAAAAAGACATAATCTATACATATCCCTCTGGCCCCACTCATTGGCATAGTGGGCTTTTGTCACTCTGATAACGTTTTTTTTTCATTTTGTGGAAAGTTATCCAGAATAATAACAGACTTTTATGTCTAACTAGTCAACTGAAAAGTACATATTAAGCTCCCAGTATGTGTCCCAAATTGGGATAGGTACTGTAGGGATACAAAAGATGTATATATTAGGATCCATCTTCAAATCTAATTGGGCAGAGGGGTTAACTAACATAAATATTTTCTACTCATCCAAATTTAGAGTGTTATCTTAAGTATGCTGTAGGAGTTGAGAATTAGAGGTCAATGTGGCTTGAAATAATCTAAAAAATAAAAAGCTTTTCCCATCAATGTCATTGAGAAGACTAAATTCTGTCCTAATTTTAAAAATGCACATTATTTTTACAAGTTTGATAGAGTTCACACATTTTATATTTTAAATACCTTTATTTATTTTCAGCTGTGCTAGGTCTTTGCTGTTGCATGTGGGTTTTCTCTAGTTGCAGTGAGCGGGAGCTACTCTCTAGCTGTGGAGCACTGGCTCTACCGTTGTGGCATACACAACTACTTGCCCCATGTCAGGTGAAATCTTTCTGGACCAGGGATCGAATCTACGTCCCCTGCATTGGGAGGTGGACGCTCAACCACTGGACCACCAGGAAAGCCCTAGAAATGCACGTTCTTTTAGACATAAACATTGAAAAGTTGTTCCAGGCAATGGAGATATATGGACAAATGAAACAATTCCTGTCCTCAAGAGCTTACAGTTTGGTAGGTGGAAACAAGTAGAATCACTGTAAATCAACGTGAAGGTCTGTGTGTGTGTGTTTGTTAGTTGCTCAGTCAAGTCTGACTCTTTGTGACCTCATAGACTGTAGCCCTCCAAGCTTCTCTGTCCATGGAATTCTCCAATTCCAGGAGAATTCTCCAGGCAAGAATACCGGAGTGGATTGCCATTGGCTTCTCCAGAGGAACCTCCCAACCCAGGGATCGAACCCTGGTCTCCTGCACTGCAGGCAGTTTCTTTACCGTTTGAGCTACAGGGAAGTCCTTGTGAGGGTCAACACCTCAGAAGAAGGGGTTGACACCGAAAGCTTCAGGGAGCACATGACCTTCAAGGAGGTCACTGACAACAGGGAGGGGACAAATGTGTGTCTGTGGGAGGGTGAATGTTAGAGAGAATGTTAGAGGAGAGAAAGGCATTCCAGAAAAAGGAAACTGAAAGCAGCACAGGAAAAGGTAAAGCGAGTAGTGAGCGTGAAGACTAAAGCTGGGGTTTCCCACATTTATTTCAAAGGCCTTCATCACCTACATGAAAAGAGGGTCTTGAAAAAACAAATAACCAGACCATAATGATCATGACATTTAAATATACATGAGTGCTAATCATGTGTTGGTGTTCAGTCATTAAGTCACAACTAACTCTAGTGAATCCACTGAACTGTAGCCCACCAGGTTCCTCTGTCCAAGGGATTGCAGAAGCAAGAATACTGGAGTGGGTTGCCATTTCCTTCTCCAGGGGATCTTTCCAACCCAGGGATTGAATCCACATCTCCTGCATTGGCAGGTGGATTCTTTACCACTGAGCCACCAGGGAAGTCTGTGCTAATAATTACTCTACTTTTTGGCATTAAGAAATTATTGTTCATGATTATATTCATTTTATATAAATATCTATCTTCTGAGCCATTTTGTGAGGATTCAATTGTAGTCACTTTCAAAGAGAATGCTGATTGGAGCACCACAGGAATATCTTCTACAGAAAAAATACTTATTTTAATACAGAATATTAGTTTTCTTTAGGATTTACTGAGGGATTATAGAACCAGAATAAACATATAAAAACTCAGCTAATCAAATCATTAAATACCTTATATTTTGAAGGCCTCTTAATATTTACACTTAAGTTTATAAATGGTCTTTACATAAAATTAAGTCATTTAAATTAATATACACATGCATTAAAGGGGCTTCCCTCCTGGCTCAGACAGTAAAGGATCTGCCTTCAACGTGGGACCCAGGGTTGGATCCCTGGGGCAGGAAGATCCCCTGGAGAAGGAAATGGCAACCCACCCCAGTATTCTTGCCTGGAGAATCTCGAAGACAGAGGAGCCTGGAGGGCTAAGGTCCATGGGGGTCGCAAACGGTCAAACTACTGAAACCGCTTAGTACGCACATGGACTAAAAAACCATCTAAAACTAGTTTTAAAAATATATATATTCGCTCGAACCACACCATTAGGCATATTATGCAAAAACTATTTTTAAAAGAAAATATCCTAGTGAATTTGTCCTTAAAATCAGACAAACATTTAACACGTTACAGCTTCCAAATTTCAGAAAAGGCGAGATGTAAAATTTTCCCTCGGTAATTTTAGCTGGACATCTTGTCGAATTTCACAAGCAGGAACATCTTCATGTACCTAACAGTGGGCACAATACAGGCACGTCTTTGTTGCTATGAGAACCTCTATTTTGTATGAGAAATCGCAGCCTTGACGACGCAATGTTTGCGCCGATTTTACAACATGTTTTTCAACAGCGATTCAGCTCCACCAGTTAACACTCTAATAATGGCCCTCTGGTTTCCTCCCCGCCAGCCCAGTTTTCCGTCCCAGCTGCAGCGCTCGCCCGCCGTGCAGTCCCGGTCTCTGGGAGCCGGCGGCGAGCACTGGACTGGCGAAAACGCGGGCGGGAGGTGGGGCAGGATCGGATGGGAAGGGGAGGCGGCGGCCCTGCGGATTGCTTCTGTCACCCCTCCGGAGTCAAGCTCTGCACCAGCTCTCCAGCTGTGTTTTAAAATCTGCAGTTAAAAAAAAAAAAAAAAAGTCGAGCAACGCCTCATCCTAACTTCCCTATGGAGGGGATGAGGAGAGCAGCGTGTCCCCAAATGGATCAGAAACATGGGAAAGGAGGGGTTCCGAACTTCATTATTAAATACTTCCTCTATACTAGAAAAATCAGGGTTCAGGGCTCGGTATTGGGCAGAATAGGCTGAAGCCACCGACGCGGCTAAAAGGGTCGCGGGCGCGGATCCGGGCTTCCGAGCGCCACAGGGTTCTGGCTGGAGCGGGGGGCGCGCGCGCTCGGAGCGTTCCTTCCCCCGACCCCCGCCCCAGGGTTTCCTTCCTCGGGATTCGGAGCCTCCCATCCTCCAGGGCCGACTCGCCGCGGGGCTGGAGGGGGTCAGGACGCCGCGACCTAGCTTAGCGACAGGCCTCTCCCCGGCGACGGCGCCGCAACAAGATGGCGGACGACAGAGACAGGGACGGCACAGGTAAGAGGCACGGCGGAGCGCAGCCCTCGCCGCCCGCCGCGACCCCGGGCGGTTGGTACCGGGGAGCTTCGGACAGAGTGGGACCCCCTACCTCTGGATCCCCACCCTCAGGGAGAAGGCTGACCCAGCCAGGCCCCGCCGCCCGCCCTGCAGCGGAGGCCCCCTCCCCGGTTCCAGCCTCCCTCGCCCCGCCTCCCCGGTCTTCATCCCGCCCCCCTACCCCCATCGTCCCGCCTTCGGAGCCCCGAGCCTCGCTTCCAGCTCGGGTTGCGGCCGAGGCGCCGGCCTGGAGCCCTATAATGGCGTCCTCGTTCACGGTCTCGAGGACACCGCCTCC